TAAGGATATGAGTAAAGGTTGGAGGGTGTGAGGTAGAGGTGGGAGATGAGGGGAATAGGGTAGGAGGGGAGATGGGAAAGGGTGGGCCGTTAGAGAGGGGCAGGACAGGAGTGGGGGAAGGGGAGGGGGTAACTGTTGGGAGAAGCAGGGGTTGGAGGAGCCTAGGTACAAGGCTAAGGATTAGAGAGTGAAGTGTGGTATGTGGCTTGGGAAAGGCCTAGAATGATCATCTAGGAGGAGACTGGGAAGGCTGTGGGATCACTGGTATGTGGGTGGGGGGAATGCTGGGTGTAGGCTGTCAGGATGAGGGTGAGTGGACCTGGAGAGGTGTGGGCCACATGGAGCCACTTTCCCACTCCCACATTTGGTCCACTATCTCCTGGTCCCAGCTATAAACATTGCCTCTTCTTTGGTCTGCCCTCTGTCCCCAGAAGTGCAGTGCTTATATTTCTGGGCCATGAGTTTCTGTGGATTTGGAGGCCCCTCCCCAGGGGAGGCTCTGCTATGGTTCTCAGGAAGCTGCTTCTTGACTGCCTCCCCCTCCCTTCACATCCAAACAGGGACCAGGGCACCTTCTCTGCTTGCAAGAGCCCTGGGTCAGGGAGGTAGATGGGGGCACTGTTCCTGGCCTGTGAGATTGGGTGACAACAGGGACCAGTAGCCAACTTGGGGTTCCTGCTCTTTGCCCAGTGCCCTGAGCAACCTGCTATCCACACCAGCGTTAGCCAGGGAGTCCTGTTTGGCAGGAAAGCTGTGGCAGGTGGGAGGAGAGAGGAAGGCAGTGAGGCAGAAACAGCTGCCAGCCAGAGTGGAGGAAGAGCAGGGCCCCAACAGGTATGGGCAGAAGGCAAGGCGCAGGTTCTGGCAGCGCCCCCTCCCCAACATGTGGGTGTTAGACCTCCTTCCCCAGCCCTTCCCAGCCAGGGCTGCTGTTCCAGAAGCAGGCTTTGCTCACAGGCCTAAACTCTGGGCTGAAATATATCTCAGAGGTCATCTGGTCCAACTCCCCCAGTAATTTGGAGTTAGAGTCATCTTCACAGCATTTTATCCTGTGGTCTGCCTGAAATCAGGCAGGTATTTCCCAGGAGCAAGGGTTCACCTCCTCCCCAGCAGTCTGTTCCCTCTCTGGAAGGAGATAAACAACTGAGCAACCCTGATGTGTCAGGCCTAGGTACTGTGTTGACTTCTCAGTAATAATGACCTCACAGAGCTGGTCTAATGAATTATCTCCATTTTACAGATGAGAAGAGTGAGCTCAGAGAGCTAAAGTCCCTAGCTCAAGGTCACCCAAGTAATATGTAAAAGAGCTAGGTTTGAATCCAGGACTTTCTAACTTTGAAGTCCCTGTAGGGCAAAGCAGGGCATGCCTGTCCTTTTGTACCATGACAACTCTTCTGAGGCCTGAAGTCAAGAGACCACATCCTTCTGAGTCCCTTCTTCTCCAGGTGAAACAGCTTCTTCAGCTCTGTCCGGGGGAACTTGGGTTCCAGCGTCCTTCCAACCTGTTCAGTGTGAGACCCAGAAGCGAATACATGTTCTGAAAGGTGGGTTTGCACCAGTCCAAGTCCAGAAGAGAACAGAACTATCATGTCTTTCCTTGGAACTAACCTATACTGACTGATGTGACCCTATGGCTGATAAGAGAGCTGAGAACTGTCCTCCTCTTGGGCTTCTATCTCTTCTTGGATCAGAGCTATGACAGAAAAGCCAGGGTTTTTTCCCCAGCTCTACCACTCTCCCCAGTCCAAATGTCCTGAATTTAGAGTAGGGGAAGGGCAGAGATAGGGGGAGAAGCAATCAGAACCAGATAGGGGCACGGCAGGGTTGGAAGGATGGAGAGCAGTGGGGGAGTCAGATAGCTGTCCAGTAACCCTAGACAGGGCCAGGAGGGCCAAGGAGAGGGAGCTGAGGGATTTGGGGTGTGTGTGCACAGGGAGATAAAGCAGGTGGAGCATGGCCCCAGGGGTTGGGAGAGACCAGGGTGGGTATGGGCATCCACCTACCTAAGTTAACTTTGCCCTGCTGTGCGTGCGAGAGGAAGTCAGTCGCACATTAAAGAAATATTGCAGCTGGTACTAAATTGGGAGGTGTCACAGGCAGCAGTGAGGACAGGTATGATTCGTGGGGCCCTGTGGGGCCCAAAACAGGGGCAGACATTGCAAAGGCTGAAAACAGAGCTTCTGGGGCTGCCTAGTAAAGGTCTTACTGAGGGCCCCTGGGATGGGAGTCACCTGGCCCTGAAGCAAAGGTTCTAGGCTTGGTTTCCAGAAGTAGAGGAAGCCTTCTCATCCTGGCCTGGGCTGTATGCTCTCCACAAAGGAGAAGCTTTGAGGATGAGGCATCATCTCCAAGGGATCCCATTTCGGGTAGGGCCTGAATAGGAGGGCTTGGAGCCTGGGAGCAGGGTTGGGGATCGGTGAAGAAGGCCTGGAATAGAAGTGGGGTGATGAGGGAAAGAGAGAGGTGCTTCAGGAAGGAGGAGAGCAGGGCTCTATTCCCTTAGTGTGCATAACACAGCTGGTCTAGAGAGGCCTGTGGGTCTAGGCCTCAGATGAGAGAGAGAACACTGAAGAGGGGCTGAAAGGACAGGAAGAAAAGCTGTAAAGTGGGCATAGCCCTTCTGTGGGCACAGCGGGCAACAAAAGAGCAGGCGGAGTTCTCTTGAGAGGGAAAGCAAGAGAGCCACAGCAATAGGGACAGGGAGACAGAGGAGAGGAGGGAAGGCCATGGTAAAACCACAAGCATAGCACCAGAACATGTGAGTTGGAGGCCTGGCACTCCTGCTCATTAGCTGAGTGACCTTAGGGTACACTGCTTGATTCCCCTGCACCTCAGTTTCCTCATATGTAAAATGGGGATAATGGTGATGGTAATGGTGCTTGAAAACCCAAAGCATTACATCAATGTCAGAGGTTATATCATTCTTACAAAATACTATCAGCTACCTCTTCCCACTTAAATCTCACAAAAGACTCATGATATAGGTCAGAGCAAAGGTAATTATTCCTGTTTTACAAATAAGGAAATGAAAGCTTAGAGAAGTGGAATGATGTGCCCAAGGTCATACCACTAACAAGTGGTAGAGGTGATAAGGCCTCCTGAACCCAAGAGATCAGTTATCTTTCTCCTACATCAAACTGCTTGGTAAAAATAATCAACAGGAGGGATTACTATTTGGTGCAGGAACAGACAGAGCTTAAAGCTGACTATAACATGGAAGAAACCCCATGGGAAAGTTCTAGTGTGGTCTCTTATTCACCCTGGTGATTGAAGGGAATAAAAACAGTTGGGGCCACAGGGTTGGAAGGAGGGCCACAAAAGACAGACACCCTTTATCTCATCTGCTAGTGGACCCTGTCCCTCTGCTCCTACATGAGTGTGTGTATCTGTGGCTGACATTGAGGATATGTATCTCTGTCTCTATATGACAAAGTGTATCCTTCTTCATGTGACAGTAGTTCTGCCTGTGTGTCTGTGAAACGTCTGTGACATGGTGGGGAGATGTGCGTGTGTATGAGACACGGTGTCTGCTTCTGTGACACTGTTTGTGGGTGTGAAAATCTATCTCTGTGTGACTTTGCCCGAGATGGTGGTGATGCATGGCAGTGTGTGTATGTGTGTCTGTAGACCTTTAAGAAGTGGAATATCTCATTTGGTAGTGTGAGTGAGGCAGTGAGTCAGCTGAGGCTGAGGGAGGCAGGAGGGAGACTGCTAGGTTACGAGAACAGGAAAAAGGAGAATGAGAAAGTGAAGTCAGGAGCAAAGAGCTACCCCCTTCCTCCCCAGCCCTCTGCCCAAGACCTAAGGAGCCCACCAAGAGTATGGAACCTGGCAGAAGTCCACAGGGCTCACAGTGGATGGAAAAGGACACTTTCTACCCTTCCCCAAAGCCTCAGAAGGAGGCAAGTTAGGCTAGGAGGCAACTGTCTTCCTCTCCAGCTCTCAGCCCCCCAGCTTGAGGATAGGTCAGGCCAACACCCTACCTGGTCTCCTTGTCACTTGACCCTTTGACCTTTCTGTTCTCTTTCCTCCTGAAGGCAGGCCACCTGGCCAGCCTGAGTCAATGAAGCAGTAACATCATGTCCCAAATGTTTACAGCCCCCTCATACCTACTGTCCAGAATGACCATGCTCAGGGTCAAGAAGTTTCTCAACACTCACCTCTGCCCTACACAGGCCTGTTGTGCAGCTGTCTCACTTCTCCTCCGGATGCCTGTCCCCAGCAGCCAGAAAGCCAACTTTCCCTCCACCGCCCCCCTAGGGTACTAGGAAGACACTGGGAATTTTGTAACTCACCAACCTTTAGGGGCCCTCCCATAAGCCTCTGTGCCCTCTCCCCAGTTCCTTCTTTTGTCAGTGAAGAGGAGCTGGCTGGTTCCCTCCATGGGAGAAGACAGGCACCCCTGGGCTCCATCTGCCCAGGCTCTGACCAGCCACCTCAGGTCGTATAAGGTCAACAGTGTGGTGTGCCCTACCACCAGAAGTGCCCTACCACCAGAAGTGCCCCTCCTATCACCCATTGGCAGGGGCCAAAGGGTGAGGAGCAGGTTTCCAAATACTCTTCCTTCCACCTTTGGCCTTAGCCGTGCACCAGCCAGACCCTGGTTTTCAATTGCAGCCCAGGAAAGAAAGGGGGAACTGTTGGCTGAGGATGGAGACTGGGGGAGCCACCTCCCACTTTCCACCTCTTGGCCAGCCCACGGTCCAATGACCCCTCCTTCCCCATTCAGGGACAGGGTGCCAGGAAGCCCCAGTCCACGATGCTGAAACTCGCCTGGATTTAATAGAAGTTGGCCAGGTGCCTACCTGACCTGACCTGAATCTCTGAGGCCCCTTCTCCCCTTAGGGTCCCAAGGTAGCACTCAGAGTGCTGCACTCAAAACGGTGGGGGTGATGGGAGGAGGTGGGGTGAGTAGAGGGGGAGACCCCCCTTTCTCTCCCAGTCCCACTGGCGCTTCTGCCACAGAAGTAGCCTTTGTGGTCGCGGACGGCAGTCCCTACCTTACAGCCTTTCGTGCAGGATTGGATTGAGTATTCTTCTGCCTGTAAGTATTTATGCAGCACGAGGTCAAACTCGTCATATTTTTCCTGAGCGTGTCGGTCAAGCCGCTGGTACACCTCGATACAGTTGCTACATACCTCCCAGGCCCTGGAGCCCGGGCTGGCCACTACGGCCAGCAGGTCCCCTAGCAGCGTGTCCAGGCTGCAGTCCAGGCTGTCTGGGCGGTCCATGCCCAACAACAAGTCCCAGACTGTGTAGGTATCGCAAAAGGAGAGAGTGAAGTTCCGAAAGTGGCCTTTGAGCAAGTTTTTTTTGGCAGAGGGGAACTCGGCAGGGGCACGGGAAAGGGGGTCAGGGGGCCGCAGAGGGGGGGCTGGGGTAGTCGGTTCGAAAAGTCTCTGCAAAGACTGTAATTTGGTGCAAGCTGCGTCCAGCCCCGTGGGCTCTGGGACGCCGCCACAGTCCGGCCCAGAACCGGCGGCGGGGGCGGCTTTGGTCAGGTTGCTGTATCGGGGGCTGCAGGTGCCCTGGGGTGTGCTGGACTCGCCGGGAGGCGGCGGCGGCGGCAGCGGCGGCGGCTGCAGTTGCAGCACCGCTCTAGAGGGCACCGGCTGCCGCTCCCGGCTGGCCCCCCACGGTGGCCGCATGGCGTTGCTTAGCTCCTTGGCTCGAGGCCGGGCCCCCGCGCACAGCCACAGATGGTCAGCGAGTAGCACGGTGAAGAAGAGCAGGGACGCCAGGGACAGTCGCCATCGCTGCGCCCGCTCGGAGTCAGCGCAAGGTTTGTCGCTTGGCCTGGGAGCCCAGCAGCAACAGCAGCAGCAGATAGTCAGCGCGGCGGCGTCTTTCCCGGGCCACATCCAAGCGCCCCTGAACATATTTCATGGGAGTCCGGGCTGGACGGAGCAGGCGGGCGCGAGGCCGGACGGCCGACTCGGACGGCGAGTGGGCTGCGCGCCGCTCAGCGGTCCTCAGAGCCGTCCAGGATCTACCTCGGGGGTTGCATGGTGAGGCAGGCCGGCCGGCCGGCCCGGGACTCCGCGGGGCGCTCTTGTGCTCTCCCCGCTCCCCTCCCGCGCTCCCTCGCTGGCGGCCCGCGGCGCGGCCGCCCGGCCCGGCCCGCTAGGCGCTGCCCGGCGTCCCGGCGGGGGGCGGTGCGGAGCACTGGGGCGGTGGCGGCTGCTGCGGCGGCGCCGCACTCCTCATAGTGTCGGGTCCCTCAGCTGCCCTCGGCTCCGGGCCACTCCACTCTGCGCCGGCAGCCGCCGGGTTCACACTCTGTTCCGGCCGTCTCGGCTTGGCGCAGCTCTGCGCCCTTGGGCGCCGCCGTGCGGGCCCGGCCGCCGCGCTTCCCTCGCTCTCCCCGCTCCTCTCCTCTCTTGCCCTCCCGTTCGCCCGCCCGCCTGCTGTCCGCTCCGCGCCGCTCCCTGCTTCGGTCGCGCCTTTCTAGGCCCGCTCGCCGGCCGGCTGCCCGGTCCTTCGGGCTGCGCTCGTGCTGTGGCTATCAGCTGGAGCCTGTCCCGGGCCGGCTCCTCTACCACTCCGCGCCTGCTGCTCCCAGAGTTCCGGCTCGGGCGGGTCACCTGGCTCCCGGCCGCGCCACCAGCGCCGGACGAAGACGCGGGGCTTCACTTAGCGCGCCTCTCGTTTCCGCCTTTCGTTCGCGCCGCTCTGACGGCCGCCGGGCGACACAGCCCTGTGGCTCCCGCTGGCCATGCCCCTCAGTCTGTCGCCATCTTCCGCTGTGCGGAGAACACCTTGAGAGCCCGTGCGCGACTGTGTTTGGGGGGGAGCAGGGCGGAGAAAGAGGCACCGAGAAGGGGAGGGAGCGGAACTGGGGCCCCGACTGCGCGTGCGCCTCAGGACTCCCGCCCACCCTCTCCAACCCCCCCACAGCCGGCCGCAGCCTGTGCTGTTTGGGGATGTTTCCAGTCCACCCCCAACTCCATTCACTTCAACGCCTCCGTTCATCCGCCCACTTTCCGCGTGCACACGCCACAAGCTGAGTCCCAGACCCCAGCGCTCCTCCTCCCCCGCCACCATGGGCGGCCACCTCCCCCCGTCCCCCGGGACAGCCGCTCACTACCCCCAAAGGCGAGGGGACTTCTGAGGGTGATTCTTGGAAGCAGAAGGCAGGAGGCATCTCCGTCACGTCTCGCTGCTTCCCTGGGTCGCTTCCCCTGTCCCCGTGACTAGAAGACGTTGGAGCCGGCTGCGGAACGGACCAGTCCCGGGTCCCCAACTCAGCTGTCATCCTGACTGTCCTGCCTGAGGCCGAGAGGCGGTCCCTGGTGCTGAAGGACAGCTCCCAGTTTAGCTGTCGCAGAGGGCAGAGCTTGGAGAGCGTCTCGGAGGGGGCAAAATAGCCGACTAAGATGGGCAGTAGTGATGAGGTGTCGTTTCTGCCCTTAGTTACATTTCCAGCAGCCTCTCCCCGGTCCTAGATTTCTGGCTCCCCCTACAGACTGCTGAGAATAGCTAAGCAAGAGTTAGGGAAGCTGTGCTGCTGTAATGGAACCATGTGCTTGGAGCCCTCCCAGTCACATGGCACTAGGAACTCAGACATACAAGCGTCTTGCCCCGCTACTAACCTTGTTTGGATGCCACCAAATCTCAGATTTGTCTGGCTTTCTACCTTCTTTCCTCACTCCCTCCCATTCCCAGTAACTCCCACATTCTAATTTTTATTCAACCTTTACCAGTAACGGCTGTTAATAAAGATAACAATAAAGAAAATAGCTGTTATTGAGCATATACGAAGTGCTACCTTACTGCTCTAGGCACTTTATAGGCATTATTTCACTTATTCTTCACAACACTCTTATGATAGGCCCTACTCTTATCTCCATTTACATATGGGGAAGCTGAGATTTACAGTGGTTAAGTTGTCTAAGATTACACAATGTAGAAAACCCAGGCAGTTTTAACTCTTAAACTCTTAACATTCCAGTAAAGCCTGGAAAGATGAAGAGGTGGAAGACAGTCTTGCCTTACAGGAAATTACAGTGTACATGAGAAAATAAGCTGTAGATGTTGGCCAGTGGGAGGAATGGGCTGCAGACTCAGATCCAGATAATAGTTCTACTACTGAATATGCCAAGTGAGAGAGTCTTTTCTTTCTCTGAGTCTTGGTTTTCCCCTGAGTGACATGAGGGGATGCCAATGGCTAAATGAGATTGTTGGGAATCATTAGCACCACTCAGAGATGGGGTGGGGTGGAAAGTTTTCTGGAAGAGGGAGAATTTGAGCTGGTTCCTAAAGAAATGGCAGGGTTTAGTGGGTGGGTAGGAGAAGTTTCAAGGGGGAGGAGGGGCCTTGTGTGGTTGTGAAGCCACAAGTCTGACATTTTGGCTGTATTGTGGTGAGATTGTGGGGAAGGGAGTAGAGGGGACAAGGAATAAAACTGTCAGGCATTGGGGAGGCCTATTCATTCATTATGTTCCAAGTACTATGCTGGGGACTAGCTAGGAGACTGAGGTGGGTCAGATATCACCTTGCCCTTGAGATGTTCCCAGTTGAATAGGGAAGCAGCCTTTTTAAAGAAGGAATTGCAACCCAGTGTAATAAGGATGATATGAGTGGAATTCTACCAGCTTCCCTCAGAGATGATTTTGCACACAGCCACTTGAATTGGAGACATTCATTTATTGGGCAAACATCTATTGAGGATCTGTTATGTTCCAGATACTGTACTAGGCATCAGAGATATAGACATGAGTAAAATATGTGTCTTGAATTGAGGGAGTTGAATTGAAGTCTTGAGGGATGAGTAAGAACTGGCCAGACAGATAGGAGAGAGAAGGTGGTGTCTGCAGGATGTCCCAGGCAGAGGGAATGTCATGTGTAAAGACCCAGAAGCAAAGCCAAGAATGGCATGTTCAGAAAACTGCAAAGTAGTTCATTGAAATTAGGTGTGAAATGGGAGCACAGCCAAAAATAAGGCTGAGGATTTGGCAGGAGCCAAATCATGAAGGACTCTGAGTGCCATGCTAAATAGTTTGGACTTTACCTCAAGGGAACTAAGAGGCATGGAAGAGGCTGAAAGGTTTTCAGCAGGAGGTGACATGGTCAGATTTGTGTTTTTAGAAGACTGATTTGACTGCCCTATAGAGACTGGGATGGATAGCAGGGGGAGACTTGAGGAAACTGGTTAGGAGACTGGTTAGTAGTCCAGGTTGGAGGTGTTGAGGATTGAATTAAAACAGTAGCAGTGGGGCTGAAGAAAATAAAAGCACATGGGAGAGAAATGACAGAAATAGAATTGAAAGGACTTAGGACTGGCCTAGATAAAAAGAATAAGGTAGAGACAGGACCTGAAGAAGGAAGATCAATGAAACTAAAGGGCTTGAGTTAGTGACACTGGCACAATGGCCCTGCCCACCTAGCAACCATCTTTCCAGAGCCCTTCTTTGTTTCGTCCTTAGAGGTTTCAGTGTTCTCTTTAACAAAGCTAATCACAGATACCTAGTTCAGAGCTGACTGGCAGGGCTACAGTGATGGACACCCTTGAATACCAATGACAGAGCACCCTGCCGGACCTAGGCTATCAGCTCTGAGCACCTCCAGAGCTTTCTGTGAGAAGTCACTCAGGCAAGACTTCCTCCTTCTCCCCCCCACACACAGGGTGAATAGTGTCTCACAAAGGTCCATTTATCGCAGGAGCAAAATGTAACTATAACTTACTCACACAGCACCCACTGCACAAAAAGGAGAGGTAGCAGCACACCAGTGGCCAGAGGATGCTCTCATGCTCTAGATGCCCTAGATGCCACAAGAAATTGGGATTGGGGAAGGGAAGGCATTGGCTTCTAATCAGGCCTTAGGAGGCAGAATAGACAGGTGGGGAGGGGAGTTGCTGCTCCTTAGAGCTGATGGGTCCTGGCCTCCTTCCCAGCCCTTTCTCCCTACCTGCTTGTAGATCAGCAGGGTCTAAAGTCAGAGGATAAAGGTAGGTCACTTCTAAGGGGACCCAGACTGCCCAACAAGAGTCATAGAGTACTCTCAAACCAGGGAGGGGGAAGAAAATTTGGAGGAGGAGGAGGGGAAGGTTTTCCACAGGGATATTCTGACAATTAGGAAGAAGAAGAAGTAGGAGCTGTTTAACAAGACTACTGTTGTTACACAGGGAGCTTTCTGTTAAGCTCATATCTTAAAGGGTCATGGGCAAAAGATGGAAACAAGAGCTCCTAATCAAGGGTGAATCTAAGAACCTGTAAGAAGAGTGTCAGGCTGGTTAAAGCACAGCTGAAGCTTGTCAGGCTCTGCCAGGATCCCACGCTCTGTTCCCCTCCTCCTTCCATAGTTGGAGTAATTTTCCTCTCACCTGCAGGCTATCCCTGTCCTAAGAGAAAAGATTGAAGTAACCCCACCCTGCACACTGGAACTCAGCATCAGGTAGTCCCATTGCTACCAATCTTGAGTCTGATCGCAAGTTTACACTGAGCTTCTACCTCATTGTTCATTTCTGATCCCTGATTTTCTGTCTCATGTCCTGTGACTGAGTCTCCCAGTCAGAGACCCTGCCTGACCACTGGTCCCCTTTCAAGGCCTAGGCCCAGTCATGCTCTTTTGGTCTGCCATCTAGGGAGAGAGTTCTGAGCCTGAACCCCATCCCAGTGGCTGGGACCTAATGGCCTACTGATGGGCTCCTATGATTCCAACTGTCCACTTGTATTTCTAAGTGTCTAAATTCCTATAATCATGTTTATCTTCCATTTGGATCCCCAGTGTTCATATGTTGTAACCGTGTGTCAGTTACATGTGCTCTTGGTCACAAATAATGGGCAACTCTACAATAGTGGTTTAAATAAATGGAGGTTTATTTGTCTTATGGAACAAAAAGTCCCTGGATACATGGCCCAGGGCTGGTATGTCAGTTCAACAATGCCATCAAGACCCTGGCTTTTCATCTCCACCATCCTTAGGGTAGTCTTTCATCTATTTGTTTTTTGTCTCATGGCCAAAAGACAGCTGCTGCAGCTCTGGGCCTCGTGTCTGTATTATAGAAAGGAAGAAGGGGAACCAGCTACACAGCAAGAAGGCTAAATGCAAAAGACCTTCTAGAGAGGCTTTGCC